TCTATGTGTTTTTCCTTTGATAAATATTTAATGTTCATTGTACCATGAGTGATTATTTTTTTGAACCCAGCAAAATGTATCTTATGTATTAATTATTAAGCAAGTATTATTTACTTCCATGAGAATTGGCCCCTAAAGAACTAAATTGTATCTTCAATCCCCATGCTCCTCCACTTTCCTTTGACTTCCAGAGGTGATCCATTTGCAGAAGAGCAAGGCGGGGAGCAGGAGGTTGGATACAGAGAATTACCTTTGCCTGGATAATTTCTTGATAACTTTATTTCTTCAAGTAGAAGAACTTCTTAAACTCTGTAAATCTTGTAAATTTTAGTTTACTCTGCCTAGAGTTCTCAACCTTAAGGAAATCTGAAACGTTGTTGCCCTAATTTTTTCTGATGAGAAAGGAGGCCCTTCCTTTATGCTTCTCAGTCAGGCGGTAGGGTGGGTGGAACCAACTTCTTCCAGGATGGAGGCTGTTAAATTTTGGCTTTATCCTGGATGTTCAGGAATTCCTATCCCTCAATCTGGCTAAGTCTTTTTGCAAGTGAGAGGAGAAAAGAACACTTGCTCAGCCCAGTCACAATGTATAATTGATACCCTAGGGGCAGTGAGTTGAGGAATTAACAGGATTTTCCTGGGATAGTTCCTTCCCACCTAGAGATGGAGGTCTTCCTTTCTGAGTTCTCAGTTGGAAGTAAGACAATGGAGAGCTTTCCTGAAAATGCCCCACTCCCTAATCTCTAGGCTAGATGTCTTTCTGTAGTACTTTTATATCATCCTGTCCAAAACTGCATCATTTCCCTAATTAAATAGTATTAGAATGTTGTCTTCCTATTATAATGTGAACACCTTTGTTTATTAGTCTTTAATCACATATTCTTTTTGGTTGATAAAAACAATAAATTATAGAAAAATTGGAAAGTGCAGAAAAGTATAAAGAATATGAAAATACCCATGTCTTCCAGAGATAACCACTGTTTTAACATTTGAGTTATGTGTATATCCTTTTTAAAAGATAGGAATTTATTTTATGCTTTCTACTGTTACCTTTTTTCATTAATGTATACTTTTTCCTATATCTTTAATGTTCTTTGAAAACATTTTTGGTGACTGTATAGTGTTTAATTCCACAGAAGTACAATGTATTTGAAAATCATTCCCTTATTGTTAGTTATTTACCTTGTTT